AATAAAAAAAGATACTTACCCTTCCCTGTTCAACACATTTGGTCAACATAATAATGGCATATACATTTTTCTCCCAAACCATACGCCAAAAATCTTTTAAAGTGTTGGGTAAAGGTCCTTGTGTGGCAATAAAATCTTTCTTGGAGTGGTAGCCCTAAAAATGGACAACAACACACACTCAACCTCAAAGAAACAGAAGGAAGTGCTCTGAAGATCGCATCGGAATGACCCCGGGCTATGAGACCGTCCCCCACTTACAGGCATGTAGTTGGCATTGATGTAGTCATCAGTTGAATGCGTCTGGATGGAAAGTTTGACGCGGGAAATATCATCTGTGACATTAAAAGAACAAAGGTCCTCATTAGAAGCAAATGTTTTGGTGAAGTTGTACACAAGAGAGAAGAAAAAAAGGACAGAATGGCGACACTGGGACTTGAGTCTTTGAGGATGTACGGCCTGCCATTTCACATAGATGGCTGCATTTAATCCTCACAGTCACGCTATGTGACTGTGGCACAGAGAAGTCAAGTGGTCACCAGGGCGGAGTTGGTGAGCGGCAGCGCCAGGATTTGAACCTGGGCAGCCTGACACCAGGCCTAATCTCTTAACCACACCAGACGCCTTCTCAGATAAAATGAACCTGTTACTATTAGGATCCTCGGGTGTCTGCCATGAGCCAGAGAATGTGCTAAACAATTTTATTTACTCTTTGAAACCACTCCACAAGCCTTTACTGTGTTATACAGATGAGGAAACTGAGGGTTGCAGAGATTAAGTGACTTCTCCAAGTCCTTGTATCTGAAGAAGGGCACTGAGAATTCAAATTGAGTGTCCCTTCCACTACAGCAGGGTGGATACCAAGGTTAACCTCTCCACCCTGCCTCCACTGCCATATAAACAAGTCGTTATAAAAAGACAGTACCAAATTCAAGAAAAATTAACTGAATGTAAAAGACTACTATGAGTGGAAGGGTCTAACACACAAAATTCTCATGTTTTCTAGATATTACTGTCATTTCAAACACACACACACACACACACACACACAAATTTGCCCAGCTCAAGAAATGAAATAACATTAGAATTCCAAGTGTCAGGCGGAGCCATAAGCAGCACCACCGAAGTTTCTGTCTTGACTGCGCTATCTCACCCTGCCCTGGGAGAAATAATAGAACAACACCAAAGCCAGCCACCAACGTCTCAGTCTAAGGCTTCCCAATGACAACAATACCCAACACCAAATTCCCAGCTCTCACAGGTTCCAAGGCCTCCACAGAATTCACAAGAACAGGCCCATCCTCCCCAGTCAACCTCAGGAGGAGGTGCTGAGGCAGGTCCCAGCAGCCTAGTTTTTAAAACATTTCTCTTAGAATGTGGGCCGATACCCCTTGTCAAGCACACGGGAGAAAAACGGAGAGAAAGAACCCAGGAGCTAGAAAATGCTGCCTCTAAACACAAGTTAATGTCTCAGTTCAGAAAAGAAAAACATGGCTTTAAATTAAAAAGACAATGTCCTGATGTAAAAATTACTCACAAAGCCTATTGATTTCGGCTAAATCAGACCCTGGCTGTGATCTACTTACACCTCTCTGTGCCCTAATTCCCACCCAAAGACAGACCATGATGAACTTTCCATGGAGAAGTATTTACATTTCATCTAACGGTTGATGTAATGAATAATTCTTGTTTTAAATTCAATTTGCTATTATCCCTGTTGGTTGGGTTGTAGACATTGTTAATTCCCCAAAACAGGAAAGAATCTAAATACACTCATACTTGGCTACGGATGCACTCGGCCCATCAGAGGTGTGTCTAGACAAGCAGAAGTGCGACTCCCTGTGTTCACCCGCTGCCCCCCTCCCCGATTCCAGAACATTCAATTCCAGAAATTGAAATAAAGGGGCTGTGAGATAAAGGGTTAAGAGCACAGACTCTGGCCTTTTCCCAGGCAGACAGACCTGGCCCAAAGCCCAGCTTTGCCATTACTACCTGAGAGACCTTGGAAAAAATCATCTAAACACTCTGCCTCACTTTCCTCATCTGCAAAACAAATAATCCACCACCTACTTCGTAAGGTTGTTGTGAGAATTAAATTAAATGCAATGCGCCTACATACAGCACTTAGCTCACAGCAGGTGAATGACAGGTGGCTGCGGCAGTGGCTAGTTAGTACCCCTGGCTCCATCCCCCTCGTCCGCCCTGGAGGGGGATAGCCAATGTGACGGCCAATGACAGAAAAGGGGGCACGATGCCGTAGATAAAACAACTTACAGGGCAGGACATTATTGTAGCGATTCTTTCCTCTATTCTCAGCCAGTTCAGCTGCGTATTTAGGTTGATTAATTCCAACAAGCTTCAGATCCTGAAAACAAAATACATCAGTTGTTCCTTTATTTAGACTTCGACTCTTATTCATACTGAGCACAGACAGGAAGAACAAAGTGGGAATGCAGAGGTGTTATGGGTGAAATTGTGCCCCTAAAAGACATGCTGGGCCAGGCGCTGTGGTGTGCACCTGTAGTCCCAGCTACTTGGGAGGCTGAGGCAGGAGGATCCCTTGAATCCAGGGTTTGAGTCCAGCCCGGGAAACGACATCCTGTCTCATTTAAAAAAAAAAAAAAAACCTAGATTTCTAAACCCCAGTACCTGTAAGTGGGATTTTATTTAAAATGAGGTCACACTAGAGTCAAGTGGGCCCTTAATTTAATATGACCGGTGCCCTTATTGGAGGAAAAGAGACAAAGAGACGCTGAGGGGAGGTGGCCGTGTGAGATGAAGGCGGAGAGCACAGTGACGCTGCCGCAGACCGTGGGAGGCCTGGAGCCACCAGGAGCCAAAGAGGTGAGGAAGGATCAGAGATTTAGGAGAAGGTGTGGCCCTGCCGACACCTTGATTTTGGACTTCGGGCCTCTAGAACCGTGAGACAGTAAATTTCAGTTGTTGTCAGCCACTGGGTTTGTGCTGCTTTGTATGGCAGCCCCAGGAAACTAATACAGAGGTTACAATGGAAGAAAAAGGACAATCTTTGCCTTGCAGGAGCTTACAACCTGGAGTGTGGACGGAAGTAACAAATGTTGCAACAAGGCAGAAATAAACAAATGCTGGATATTGGTAACAAGCAACACAAACAAAAAAATGCAGGTGAAAGCAGGCAGTCTGAGGACACAGAATTCCAGTCCTCCTCCTGGGGTCCAAGAAAGCCCTTCCAGAAGGCGGCGTCTGTGCTGTGCTGAGTGCTGCGCAGGCTCAGAGGGGGAGAGCAGAGACTCGGGGCGGCACAGGAAGCACGAGGGTGCTCGGACATCCTGAGCGAGGCTAGTGCCTGGGCTGGCCGGGGACAGAGCGTGGGGTGCCGAGAGGCAGGCACTGGCCCGAAGTCCTTCCACAGGGCTTCACAGGACCCCACGAGCCAGCTCGGCAGCCCCGTCGTCAAGCCCCAGACCTCTACAGGCCCATCTGGCTTCTTTCCAGCTCACACAGTTTCCTAATCATTCTAGTGAACAGTCCCCTAACCCGAATTCCCAGTTTCTACATCAGTTTTCCAACTTTCAGGAAAAACATAAACCAACACAATATTGACAACCACATACCTCATATTCCTCTGCAAACCCACAGTTGGAATCAGCTTGCTGTTTCTTAAAGTAGGCCTCAAAATTCTCCACTCTGATTAACTTGGATCTAAGGAAACAAAACATTTGGGTTTTTTACATTCAATGAAGTTCATACTCAAAATAACTACATACAAGTTATAAAAAAAAAAATAAAGAGGTTACTCACTTTTTAGGTCTTCATCACAGAAAGGAAAAGAAAAAAAAAATAAGCCATTAGAAAGATCCCCAAAGAATAATAATTTGGGGCATGGGGGTCAACATCACATTATTTACAAACCACTATAAGTGTAAATCAGGAAATCTGATTTCTAGATGCTATTGTGTAACTGACTGGCTTTGTGACTTTAAGTAAATTCTTCTCTCCCGCTGAATCTTCATAATCCATTCGATTATTTTAATCACAAAATATATATTTATTGGTAGAACAGAAGAACATGACAAAGCAGCTAGCTTCAGGAGACTAATAAAACATAGATTCCCTGCGGAAAACAGAGCAAGCAAGAACTTCGAGACGATCACGGTCAAATGTGTCAATCAGGAAAAATGACAGCAAGTTCCATCAGAAATTCCCTAGATAGTCACTGAACAGATTGAGAGACTGAATGTCTTAAAATAAAGCTCATCTCTTGAGAGACTTACTTAATTTGAGAAAAGGACACTTCATTGTTCTTTGCATCTTTCCTGTTTTGAAAGAAAAGAGACCCATTAGACCAAAAAGGTTCATTCTGTGCTTCTCCCTTTCATGCATCTACAAATGCCTTTTCTCCAGACATCAGTTTGTATGTGACACTAAATCCTGCCCGCTAATAAATACTAAGCTTAATGTTCCAAGCAGCAAATGCTGACTACAGATCTGTGAAGTTATTCCCTTTAATGCTATTCTAAAAGTATGAAAAAATCAAACTCAAACAACTTTTAGGAATTTCCTTGCAAATACAAATCAGCAGAATTACCTTACTGTAAAGCAACCCTCAATATTTTGTGCTCTGTTTTTGAGAATGCTTTTCTGGTAAGTTAATGCAATAAGCCAAAAAACATATCAGATCCGGCGCTGGCAAGTTGGTCAGGCACCCGCAACCCTCCTGCATCGTTGACTAAACCCAACATTGGTGTTTATAAAACTCTTCCTAGAAGGCAGTCTGGTCGTATGTACCAAAATTGAAAACAGGCAACCCCACTGACCCAGCAATTGCCCAGCTTGGAATCTGACCTAAGGAAATAATCATGAATGTGCCCAAAGATTTAGGCACAAGGAAAAGTAATTATAGCAAAAACAAACAAAAAAAACCTGAAAACTGAAAATATCCAGGAAATTAGTTAAATAAACAGTGGCACTTCCACACAGTTGAACACTCTGTAGCCACTTAAAACGACGATGAAACGAAGCTGCCCACAATGTCTCAAGTGAATAAAGCAGGCTAGACACTAACTTGTAACATGATTGCATTTGTGTGTGCATTTGTGAGTTCTGTAATCACATCCAAATATTAAGAGTAGTTTTGTGGTCTTGTGTGCGTGCTGCAGTTATGGATTACCTATTTATTTTTGCTCTTTTCTGAATTTTTTACCATGTTATTTTGATTTTTAACAAAAAACAATAAAGCTGTTTTACCCAGCCACTGAACTCCCCCCTTCCCCTTCTACCCTGCAAAAATCAGAACTTAGTATTAATATAAAAGCTGTGCAAAGCGCCTTATTTATTCAATGCTCCTCAGCTTCACGAGTCAGGCATGATTATTATCCCCATATCGTAGGTGAGGACATAAAGGCTAAGCTCTCTAACAGCCAGTCGTAGATGGAGGCTGTGTTCAAACTTAGCTAACCCTAAAACGAAGTCTCTTAACACCACACTATGAAAAGGTCTGTGAATGAGAATGCACCCTCTGAAAGGAGCATCGCACTCCACAGCGTCTACCAATGGCCTGACGTGACGGCTGTGATGATGGCTTTAAAGTCCCCCCACCCCGCCCCCCGCTGGAGTACAGCTGACACGGTACTAGCCAGATGGTGAACGCTGCGGGTGACGGGAGCATGGCACTCATCATACTATTCCCTTCCATTTTGTGAAAGTTTGAAATTTTCCATAATAAAGAGCTTCCTTAAATAGTAAAGTATTATTATGAACGTAAGTATCACCTTTTCTTTCTCCAGAAGATGAAGCCTCCCACGGCCACAATAACCAGGGCACCGAAGATACATCCAAACACCGCTCCACAGATGACACCTAGGAAAAGTCCAAATGGGAGACGCTGCAAGAGGTGTTCACGCAGGACTCCGTGCTGCAGTGACAACCAGCCCGGGCCCTCACACCAGAGGGTTTGGGGGTGTGGGGGAGGTGTACACACACACACACACACACACACACACACACACACACACACACACACGAGTTAAATAGCTTTGGACTATTTCAAACTAGTCTAAGTTCAGGTCCAACTAGTTTTGCACCTAAAACTCAGGAGCTGGTTTCTTCGTCTCCAATCCACCACCAACTGGATGGTCTTGAGAAAGTCGCTATTCCTCTCCAGGTCTCAGTTTCCTCAAGTACAAATTTAGGGAACTGGGCTAGATCAGTTATTTTCTTGCCACCTCTGACTTTCTGAGACCAGCATCCCCATACAAATGAGCAGAGATACCTACAGCACCACGCTCAGGCGACATGAAATCCATTTGTTTACTGGGGAAGAGTGTGGGGACTCCCTAAACTTTGCTTCCGGGGCAGGAATTCTTTCCTACACCCAACACAAACTAACAAACCAGTTGGTCCATTTGTCTCTGTCCTGGAGACAGGCGATATACTCCTGCAGGTCCCTGAAGCTCCTATATCACTTAGGTCTGTGTGACAAAGGGTAGGAGCACTTGACAAGGAGTCCAAGACCAGAATTTCTGCCTCTAAAGCTACTGTGTGACCCTGGGCAAGTTACTTCCCCTCTCTGGGTCTTAACAGCCTTATTTCTGAAAGGGGCTTAGACAAGACAAGTTCTGTGGCTCTTTCTGATGTTAATATTCAAGGATTCTGTGCGCCATGTCACACTATGTGCCTGGAATGTGGGTATGTAAGTGACCACCCAGGGACTGAATAATCTCTGCAGATTGGAAGGCAAATGGCACTCAGAGAAGGAGTGTGTAGGCGCTGGGCTGTGGAACCTCAGAGAAGGAAGATGAGCGAGCCCGACAGCCCAGGGACATCTCAACTTCTGGGAGGGAGAGCCGGCCACGCCAACCCTCCCAGGGGTCCGAGGGAGGCATGTAGACAGCCGGCCTTCTGTGGACACTTGGAGCAAAAACCCACTGCATTGGCTGTTTCCCTCTACCTGGATCCTGGGGCAAGAAAACGGCATCTGAGTAGCGACTGAAGGACACGTAGCTCTCAGCCCCATCAATGAGCCCGCCGTTGTGAGGGTGAAAGGTAATGTTGGTGAAGCCAGCCACACAAGCCCTGCGGGTGACAAAGAGCAGAAAGAGGCAGCTGAGACATGTCCGGCGCCCCACGCATGAGGCTCAGCTCCCAGAGAACAGGGATGGGAAGACGTTACCGGTAGGAGCCCAGAGGTTCCAGCTTCCCGTTGTAATAGCCAAGTGTGGTCGACTCATTCCCAACGTCAATTTCGTATTTCGAGACTTCAGACGAGCCCTGAGAACGTCCCTTTTCTTCTGTTCTTATGAGGTATGTCACGTAAGTGTCTGAGGCTCCCTTTTTGAAATCTTCATACGTGTATTCCAAGATGTCTGCAGAAGGGTGACCAGCTGAGAAAGGTACACAGAAGGAAAATCATGAGAAAGTGATGGCTGAGGGAGGGTTAAGTCTCCCCATATCCAAATAATCACATGACGCTGGGTGGTAATGGTGTCACGACCATCTCTAAAGTACCGCTCTGTGCCAGCTCTAAGTGCTTTACCTACACTAACTCATTTCATCCCCACAAATCTCATTGCCTAAGCTTATCCCCATTTTACAGATGAGAAAATGAAGGCACAGAACGCGAACAGGCCCTGGCCCAAGGTCACACCACCTACGAGGTGGAGCTGAATTTCCAACCCAGAGGGTGTGGCTCGGAGCCTGTGGTCTCATCCACCGCAGGTGGCACCGGGCAGTCTCATTGCCTCCCTCGATGCAATGTGTTGAAAACCGTCACAGCAAAATGACAAAGAGCTTGAAACAGACCCAAAATAAAAAGACAGAAAGGGAGAGGGATCTTAACCTCACTTTTTGAAATGTTGCCCCAGGTTATTACACAAGCATATTTCTACCCTGTAGGATCCCAGTCCCTGCCGTGTGCCTGGTCTCCACCTTGCTCGAGGAGACGAGAACGACGCCACAGGAAGAGACTGGGCAGAGGGGGCACCGCGTCACTCGCATTTCGTTTAAGGAATCCTCCAGGCCTAAAGCAAGCACTCACGAGTAGCTACCAAAGACACTCAATTATTCCCTTCTTACTGCCAAGGAGTATAACAAAGCCCTTTAAGGAAAAGCAGCCTTTAATCCACCTCCTCTCTCAGCTACCTGGATGCTCTTTACAAGTTCCTGCTAACGAACGCGAACCTTTTCCTGTTTTCTTTCAAGACAAAGTCATCCCCTGAGGATGACGGGTGTGCGTGTCTGTGTGTATGCGAGACAGAGAGAGAGAAAGAGAGAGAGAGAGAGAGTTCCTTAAGACTAATATTCTGCTACCTAAAAGGCCTTATGATGTAAAAGAGAAGAAAAATCTAGATCACAGGCCAAATCCGGCCACCCCCTGTTGTGGTAAATATCAAATGGGAATGGCCCCACTCATTCTTTACGTATCTTCTATGACTTCTTTCACACCACAGTGGAGTTCAATAGTGTGACAGAGGCTGTAAGGTCTGCAAAAATTAAAATATTTGCTATGTGGCTCTGCATAGAACGAGTATGAACCATCAGCCCAACAGCTCACCCTGCCCCTCTCCGTGTGAGTGCAAAGCACAGGCTACAGTGCACAGAGAGGCATGTGTCAGCATCACTAACGTGCTTCGGTGGGCACAGAGATGGCTCCGGTCACAGCATCACTCACGGACTGTTTAACCCACAGAGGCTCCTCCTTACCTTCCCCAGTGGTGAGAATGACAGCGTAGGCTTTGATGGGTCCGTGGCTGGCTTCAAATCCACTGAACTTGACCTTTACTGAATTGTGGCTGACAGATGTAATATTAGGAGATCCATCTGGAGGAGGGGGGTCTGGAACAAAACAAGACAAACTATGATCACCCAACATTTAAAACCAAAGAAGAAGCGAAATGATTAGGTAGAGAATGTGCTTCAGTGCCCTCAACATCTGCCCCTGCTCTGGGAGCTGCATGCTGGGCTCGTGCAAAGCCAATCTAGAAGCAAGGGGCAGGGAAGGAAATTGGTGACGAGCAGACACAGACCTTGGGAATCCTGACGAGCTCAAAATGACCCCTCAGTGTGTCCAGCCTCATGTCCAGAGTGGGTGCCCAGCAGCCTTGTTTGATTTTGTTCTTATTGTTCTTTCTAACACTATATGCTTTTATTTTTTTAACAGATTTATTGAGGCATAACTAGAATACTACCAAGGAGGTAAAAGACTTGTACAATGAAAACTACAAAACACTGATGAAAGAAATTAAAAAAAGACACAAAAAATGGAAAGACATCCCATGTTCACGGATTGGAAGACTCAATATTATTTAAATGTCCATGATACTCAAAGAGATCTACAGATTCAATGCTACCCCCACCAAAATCCCAACAGCATGTTTTGCAGAATAGAAAAAACAATCCTAAAATTCATACGGAATCATGAAAGACCCAGAATGGCCAAAATGATCTTGAGGAAAAACAAAGCTGGAGGCCTCACACTTCCTGGTTTCAAAATATGTTACAAAGCTACAGTAATTAAAACAGTAAAGTATGGGCATAAAGACAGACATAGAGACCTATGGAACAGAATAGAAAGCCCAGAATTAAGCCCACATGTACAGTCAACTGATCTTTGGCAAGGGCACCAAGAATACACAATGGGGGACAGACAGTCTCTTCAACTAAAGAGCTTTTGCATGGCAAAGGAAACAACAGAATGAAAAGCCAGCATCCTAGTTTGGTGAAAATAATCTACCTCTGTCTTCTCCCCTGTCCCTCTGACTCAAGATGGACCAGGTTCCTTATCCTGAGAACGGGGGTGGAAGAAGGCAAGCGAGAAAGGCACTATGTGGGTGGAACTCTAAGGTGGACTTGGCCCCAGGCTCATCTGTCGGCTGGGAACAAAGGTGGAGCAGATGTCCAGGGAGAAGAGTCAAAGACAAGACGGGGTGAGAACACACGTTCTCCAGAAACCTGGACACATTCCTGCTCCGTGTCCTTCACTACAGTCCCGTTTTTGCTGGAGTTGGTCTAAAACATCACCTAGAGAAACCCAACAGGTCTTCTTTCTAGAAACCAGAAAAGCCCACACAGGAATGTCCCAT